ATCGATACAAGCTGATACGTTGTGACACCCTGGGACATTGGTGACACCCTGAGACGTCGCGACACACTGGGACAGTGTGACATCGATACAAGCTGATACGTTGTGACACCCTGGGACATTGGTGACACCCTGAGACGTCGCGACACACTGGGACAGTGTGACATCGATACAAGCTGATACGTTGTGACACCCTGGGACATTGGTGACACCCTGAGACGTCGCGACACACTGGGACAGTGTGACATCGATACAAGCTGATACGTTGTGACACCCTGGGACATTGGTGACACCCTGAGACGTCGCGACACACTGGGACAGTGTGACATCGATACAAGCTGATACGTTGTGACACCCTGGGACATTGGTGACACACTGGAATGTTGTGATGACAAACTGTGACAGTCGTGATACGTTGTGACACCCTCGAACAGCGTGACACCATTGCGTGACACCATGATGACACATGGGACATCATGAAAAGCTAGGATGCAATGACATCCAGGGACGGGATGACACTCTGGGACATTGTGAGAAGCTGGAATGTCATGACAAGCTAGGACAGCTTGACAGACTGTGACATCCTGTGACAATGAAAGCATGGAAAATTGTCTTGTGAACACAACACAAATAATTATGTATCTAATACACTCTTATGATAATGTACATAATAAAAACTGAGCTTCCATAGTTAGCTATCAAGTTATATTTGTATATTAAATAAAAAATAACATACATACATTGTGAAATATCGAGTTTTTTTTACAAACAAAGCAAAAATATATAATAATCGGGCCGACATCTTTACGGAAACCGAGTTTGGTCTCTTCAAGAGTGTTTCGCGTCATCAGTGATGCCTTTTACTTCCCTATCACTAAAACCTCTGGGTTGAACAGGCTTCGAAGTGAAAGGCCGAGGACACGGTACACGTTAATGACTCTACCACCAAACTCTAAAAACAATATAACAATATTATATCTATATTATTTAAACAATGGCCGTATGACAGTCGTTGTTTTTATAATAACGTATTATTTCGTTTCTTTCTTTCGTGGATTTCATGCTCTAATATATGTAAAAGCCACAAATAAAAGTAAATAAGTAACGTAGCTATATTGCATTGACTCGGGTAACACGTATAGGCGGTAGCGTCACAGAGTGCTACTTCCTTTTAGATCATGCCCCTTAGCAACAGGATCGGCTGTAGGGCTTGCAGCAATGTACCTAACAGGGTTATATAAGTAGATTGTCATAACTGTTTTATATAATTGCTATATTTACTTGACATTACAATAACACGCTTTTAACCTAATGATGAGAATAAAGCGGTCGTCTCCTTATTTGCTATATCGACGCACGCACACGCACGCACATACTACACGCACACGCACGCACATACTACACGCACACGCACACACGCACGCACATACTACACGCACACGCGCACACGCACGCACATACTACACGCACACGCGCACACGCACG